TGCTACAACGTCCATTGCAACATGCCCATCCTGCAGCTCATCAAGTTGATGGACCAGGCCAACAAGAGCAACCTCTTCAAGTTGGGCTTCTATCCCAACCATGTGATTGGGATGCAGGCCATCGCCAACACACACTGGATGGACATCTTGCCTGCTGACAACATCACTGAGTACCCACCCATGCATGTCATGAGCTACGATTTGGAGAGTAAGTTGCTTGACACCAAGCTCAAGTCCCACAATCTGAAACTGTTAAATTGGCAACCTCTATGATGAACAACTGCCTGATGAAGCCAATGAAGATGTGGCTGAGCTCTCATACCAGGATGTCAATGAGGAAATGGGCGAGGAGATCAAGGCCTTCCAGCCAAACTGGAGGCACCTTGCAAGCAGAACGCCAGCATCATCCATATGGCGCCATGGTCATGAAAACCTGTCAAACAAGATCATCAACAAGACCATCTTTACACTGGGCAGTTGCACACACAGCAAGCTCAAGCCCAACATCAACATCTTTACTATGGTGACCAGCCCAGTTCACCTGCATTCAACAATGACAAGGAGGAGCACAACATGCTCATCACTTTCATGCACTTCATGGCCATGGCCAACAGCAACTTCAACAGGCTACAATTGGAACTACCTCATCACCCACTGCCAGGTCCTCAGCGTGCCATGCCTGTTGGGCCACACAGGGCGCAACATCACAATCAAGCACAAGATCTACCAGAGCAGGGCTACAGGCACACACAAGTACATGCATCCACAAATGGAGGGCCACATTTCCATGGACATGCACATCAAGGTTGAGCACAGTGGCAGGAAATTGCAAAGATACACACTCAACACCAACATGCTGAGCGCTTTGTTGTCATGTCACCACTGCTGGACTGTGATGATGGTGCATGTTGGGGATTGTCAAACAACAGCCATGTGGCGCAAGAGTGGCATTGCCACTGTGTGATGAGCCTCCTGTTCTTGCTATTTGTGCACGCCATCGCCTTTTTGGGATGGCTTGGGTGCAGCAGCTCCCTGGCCTTGTGGGAAAGTCTGCTGGTCAGCTGCAGCTTCCCTATCTGGCGTGGTTTGATGTTTAGGCGCCACAGTGGGCCCAAGTGTGTGACACTTTGGTAATTGCCTTGCACATACTCAGTGTTGACTGTTGTTTGGCATTGTGTGCAATGTGGGAACATGTCACTGTTGCTTTGCATGGTCATTACACATAGCTGGTGAAGCCATTTTGACCTTCACTGACGCACTCCCCACCAACAGGACGTTCACTACATGCAAATCCTGGTGCTGTGGGCGACTTGAGCACAGGGCCCTGCTGGTGCAATATTGTGTGCAAGATGTGGTACTGCTGCTGCTCCTGCTCAAGAAGCTCAACACAATCACAAGCATGATGGCCATGGCAAGGACTATGGGTCTGCCACTGCAGATGCTGCTCAATCATGGTCAAAGCATACACATGCTCCACCAGGTGTGCAATCTGGCCATCACAAAATCGTGGGTGATACCACACATGCCACAGGACTACAATGCCAAGAGCGCCAACCCCAACACCAGCTCCAAGCACAGCCCCAAGGGCTACACTGGCGCCATTGTCATCAAGCCCAAGAAGGGCTACTACAACTTCCCAGTCATCACATTCAACTTCTCATCACTCTACCCATTGATCACCATCACTCTACCCATTGATCACCATCACCTGGAACCTGTGCTACACAACCCTGATCAAGTGACTCCACACATGCAAGGTTGAGATTGAGGAGCTGGTCATCAGATCAGCAAGGGGCTCACTAAGATGCAATACACAAACACACAGCCACACATCACACTCAACAAACACATCAAGCAACACAAAGGTCCCAAGGGCGGCTACCATGTCAGCAATTGCATCCTGTACGTTGTATGTCAGCTCAACATGAGTTGCAAGGCTGAGTTGTCCATGGACAGGTTCTTGTCCAAGCTTGTGTGCTGGAGGGCAATGCTGCATGCATTGGGAGACAACAACCATGAGGAGTGCCTCCAGATCTACGTGCTTGAGGGACGTGTGTGTGATATGTTTGATGGACTCAGCCAGTGTTTCCAAGGCAAAACACAGGGGTGGAAACATTGCCTTGTCCAGTCAGATACAGATTCTGAAAATGGGCAGAACTCAGAAAATGATCCCAGCAATCAACCATCAAGGGAGGACAACAGTGTTTTCAAGTCCAGTGACAAAGATGATGACAATGGCAATGACAGTGATGATGATGATGACACAAGGGGTAGAAAGTGGAAGAGGAGGTTGGACTGCTGCAGCAGGCAAAAGAAGTGGCAAAGGAGAAGGTGAACCAGATATGATGATAGCAGCAGCAATTGTGTGAGCCAAAAATGCAAGTGTGGCAGTGGCAGTGAATCATTGGTGGGAGCTGTGTCTGAGAATGAGTGTGCTGTTGTCAGGCCCTGGCGCCACCTGACTGTGTTCCACAATCACAAGTGCAAAATGGATCAGCATCTGTGTGACAACAGTGCTCCTGAAGGCTACACAACCATCATGCTTGAGGAGTGGATGAAGAAGGACCCCAAGAAGAACAAGCTCCTGCTGGTGCAGGTGGCAATGCTCTTCATCATTGGCAAGCTCAAGAAGTTTGGCGCCAAGTGCTGGAAGGACTGTGTGTGCAAGTGTGTGACCATGGATGAGGGCATGACATGTGGCACTATTGTGTGTGGAAGGAGGAGTGTGTTGATCTGACTTGCTATCCTGACATCTGGCACATGCAGCTGTTGCGCCAGGGCATGTTCAATTCGGCCTGCAACTATGTGCTCAAGTCCAAGAATGATTGCAGCTTCCTGATGTTCAACAAAGACTGCACCATCCTCTCTTTTGACAATGGCATCTTCTGCACCATGCAGCAGGTGGACAAGGAGGACCCATCAATTGAATACATGCTGGTGTGCCACTTCACGCAGTATGGCAGCCCTGAGCTTGCCTGGCTGCCTGCACAATTTGGATTGGCCAACTACATCTGGGGCTCCATCAATCCTGAGTGGCTCATGTGCAATCTGCATAACATCCTGATGCCTGTTGTTGAGGGCATGCTCTGACACCAGCACTGGATGATGGACATCATCTGCATCTTCCTCACCATCTGCGTCAGTCATGTCATCTTCCCCATTGGCACCTATGATGCCTTCCAAATTGCTCTTTGAATGTCCACTACTTGATTGAATGGAGCTGGGAACTGGCATACCAACTCAGCTGGCCAATTGTGGACCCACCTCTGTGGCAGTTATGATGATGGCTGGATTGACATGACCTACAACCATGAGTGGGGCATCATGGCTGCTGTCAGCACCATCACTGGAGACCCACTCATAAAGCCCACTCACATGGCCTACTGGAGGCTGGAGGAAGGCGTCCAAGCCAGGTGCCATATGACAGCTTGGCGCAACTCTGCCTACCATTGGATTGTCCCAGGTGCTCCACTGTTGTAAGCCTCCATCTCGTTTTGTTCTTCGCGTGTAGAAGAGGGCAAGGAATCAATCGCTTGTCCCCCAAAGAAATTACTGGAATCAAAATGTTGGCCCAGAATTATTTGTCTTTTTATTTTCTGTTTTTTTTTGATTTTTTGTTTTCTAATTTGCTGGCCGTTGTTAGGCCGTGGCGGCGTTGCGCTGGAGGAGCTGCAGAGCTGCTTCAAAATGGCCCCGCTCTACCTGTTGGCGACACCACGTGCCCGCCGTCAACACCACATTCATACACCAACGGCAACAGGGTTAGGCCACATGTGTGTGGAAATAGAAATAAATAGATGACGCGTCCAGCGCCATCAGCTCGATCTGCCAGTGCATGGTCGCTGCGGCTGGCTGGAAGGAGTTGGTCATGTCGCATTCGCTGCGTATTGGCAGGGCGACAGTGGTGGTGGAAGGCGGCCTGACATGCAAGCAGACGATGACCATTGGTGGGTGGAACTCTGGAGTGGTGGATCAGTACCTGCGCGCGCAGGAGCTTGCCACTGTGGGTGTCTTGAGGAGGATGGGGCTGTGAAGGCGGGTGCCGTAGTGTTCTTCGCAAGGAACATGGTTCTTTCCTGCCTTTGTGTTTGTTCCTTGCCCCCTGTGCTCTCTGGTAGAGCACCCATTTGTCAGCAGTGGTGTGAGTGCTAATGAGTGATAATGTGTAGTTTCTGTGTAAACAGAAACGTACTTTATCATGAGTGGTTAGCACTTGCCCAGCGTGATGCTGGCTTCTCAAGGAGAAGTGCCTGCTTGGTGGTGTGATCACTGAGCGTGAGCTGGTGCACCACTGGTGAGCGGTGTCATGGGCGGCATTATAGGGGGAGGCTGGCTGGTGAGCCAGCAAGTTTTTTCTTCTCCCACGTGGTGAGAGGTTCCTGCCCGCCCGCCCGCTGGCTCTCCTGCGCAGGAGTGTTGTGGTGTGTGACGCTGCTAGCCAGCTCTCTGGGACGCCTCTTGAGTGACCCATGGTGGTTCCCTAGGAGTGGGAACCACGGAGTTAAGAGGGGAGAGAGAGTGTGTGAGAGAGTGAGGAGAGCGGTGTTTTGAGTCAGTAGGTGTTTCTGATAGTGACCTCATAAACACCCATTCGTCAGCAGTGGTGCGAGTGCTAACGAGTGATAACAATCATTTCACACCCCACGTTTTTGTGCTGGCCTTTTCGTCGACCTTACTGCAGGCTCCACGACTTTTTTTCTCTATCGTCCCGGTGATAGGACATCATGGACGTCGCTCGGCGTCACCACCCATTTTCGCGTGCTGTCACCGCGAGGGAAGCCATGCGCAGGCAGCGCGAACGGGTGTCGGTCGGCACGCGCAAGGTCAAATACGAAGGACTGCGCGCGGCCGTCGAATCGTGTGGCTACATCTTCGGCGAGCGAGGCGGCCGCGGAGCATCGGCCGCGGTATTCCACGCGACTCGGATTGGCGGCAACGGGCGGGATCTGGCCATCAAGATCCTGGCCGGACGCGACGCCGAACCGTGCTGGCGCAGGGAGTGCGCGGCGCTGACCAAGCTGGCCAGGAGCAAGAAACCGTGTCCATACGTGCCGCAGATACTGGACAGCTTCGCGCTTGAACAGACTGAGGACACCGAAGGCAGCGCTCTGTACGCGCTCGTCACTCCTTTTTACGGATCGGGCACGCTCCGCGGCCTGCTCAACAAAAACAACGGCAGGCTCGACACCGCCACATGCGACGAGCTCTTCAATCACATCAGCGATGCCATGTGCGCCGCGCACAGCATGGGGATCGTGCACTGCAACATCAAGCTCGACAACATCCTGCTCGATCGACGCGAGAGCGACGGTCAGCTGCGCGCCGTGCTGTGCAACTGGGACCTCTGCAAGCTGGAGCAACCACGCGAGTGCCACGTCATGCGCGGGACGCTCATGTATGCCGCGCCAGAGCTCGCCATGTACATGATCAAGCGGCATCTCATGATGAAGCTGCCAGAGGAGCAGCGCGCCAACACCAACCAAGAGCGTCTGGGCAAGCAGCGGCCCTACAATGCCATGGCATGCGACGCATGGGCCCTCAGGTTGTGCCTGTGGATCATGACCATCAGTCGCCATCCATTCAATTCGGACAGCAGCGAGGAGACGTACCAGCTCATCAAGAAATCGACCGCCGCCATGTCCGAACACGAGAGGAGGAGGCAATCGTGCGTGCCCGAGGATCACTGGGAGATCATCACGATGCTCATGCAGGCGCGACCCGAGCACCAGTGGCAGGTGCAACTCAGCACATCCAAATAAAATGTACACACCAGACAGAAGAAGGATGGAGATCGCCACCAGGAAGACGCAGGAGGTCCACGCGCTGTACGTCAGCGGATTGGTGGACAACGAAGTGTGCAAGTGCGTGCTCAAATACTTTGTCAAGTGGTGTTGGGTCCACAGCAACACCATCAAGGTGGTTGATGAGTTCATGTTTGCTGACATCCTGCACCGTTGGCAGGAGGCGCACAAGGTGGCACTCCACAAGGCAAGCTTGGGTCAGCATGGGGAGAAGGGCAATGCGCTCAAGGAGATCAAGTATAACAGCTGGAGCACCAAGGCTGCCAGTCTGTTTGGTGAGCTTCTGTGGATGAGGTGCTTGTTCTTCTTGTGCTTCAGAGTTTGTTTTCTTCACCTTGAGTTGCTGGGGCTCTTCAAGGTATGTGTGTGTTGTGTGGTTCTTATTGTTTGTGTGATTTGTTGTTTGTTGTTTGTTAACAGTTGTGCAACAGAGACACCTGCAATACATGTGCATGAAGCATGATATCAATGAGGAGTTGAACAAGCACATCAATAACTATGGTGCCTTTCTGGGCAAAGATGGCTTCACAACATGCTTCAACTTCACCAAAAAGTGAGGCAAGGGTATGTCAATGGTCAGCCTTTCTATTTTAATTACTAACTGGCATGTAGAGTATTGTTTCTCTCACAGGCAGTGAGATGGAGAGTCTCACACAGATCATAGAGGTCTGTCTAATGGGCCTGATCCCAGCAGAGGAACAGCTCTGCTGGGAATGGCACATAGACATTCTTCGCCTGCTTCAGCAGAGTGAGTACACCAACAAGACCCTCAAGAAGATGATCAGGATGAGGTGATTGTGGAAGTCCAACATGTATTGG